AGTACAGTCTGCCCTATATTTTCAGACTTTGGGTGCCTTACATAACTAGGTGCAAAACACTTATTTTTATTTCTGATTCTTTTCTTTGGAAGTGCAGTCATGTGCAATCAGGTGGAATAAGTGTGCTGATAATTTTCCTTCAGAAATTGTAATGGTTAGTGATGTGGACACTTTTCTTTTTAGGCAGAAACCATGAGACACTGAAGCAAGCATTCACTTTTCTTGCACTTGAGGTCACAAATTTATGCAAGTCAAAAATGTTGGGCCTGCCAAAAACATCATGCTACACTCCACCAAATAAAAGGACACTGTTATTCTTACAAGGAAAGGTTTGACAGGACAGGAAATAGGCAGGGTCATAGAAGTTTACTTAATACCGAAACTTATTTAACCATCTTTAAGCCAAAATACAATGATAGTTATTTAAAAAAAAAAAAATTAGAAGGGGTGGGCAGGAACGGAAGACAGATACAAGAGCACCAGACTGCACTATTACAGGAGTAGCAACCAATATAGAAACTAGGGAACTTTATTAAAAATTCCCATAATTCAGGTTACTATATGTCACCTGCCTTTACTGGGTTAACATATATTAAATAAGTTTTAATTTATGTCCTGAACTTGCAGCAAGAGGCATCCGATTTGGAGAATCCAATGCAGAGGTTACCAAGCTATACAGTACTTCCATTACAATGCAATCCTTAAGTAGACAGCATTCCGCTTAAAGGAATGGAGGAAGGGGGAGTAAGAAGAGTGAATATGAAAGATAGGAAAAATGTTGCTGTGCATTACAATTTTCCATTTTTGTTGAAACGCAGCAGGAGAGCAAAGCCACAGGCTTCTCTACTGCTCTCGCACGCCAGGAGGGATTATGCAAACACTGTAACCACCCAAATCTTATTTAAATTATAGTCATTGTTCCCCCTTTAATGGTTATACTTTTGCCTGCTTTCACTCAAATATTGCTGCATCTTGCTTTCCGCCAACATAATCCCAATGGGAGTCATCAACTCTTAATTATAGATGAGCAAATCTTTGAAAAATACCTCTGGAAAAAAAAAAGTGAGACAGAAAGCAAACTTTAAGTGCCATCTAGTGGCTGATCTACTAAAAAACATTAAATAGATAAAAAAAAATTCTTAACATGCCACAGACTTAATATAATTGTAGCTGAACTGAGGAAGCAGTGCTTAAATTCACAACCTCTAAAGACCAGGTTAATACTTTAGGGAACTAAGAAAAGGACTAAAGATCAATGGTATCTTTACCATAATTATTTTTTTTTAAGGTTTTTGCATGTAAGTGGAGAATCAAATGGTAGGAATTGTATAGTGATCACCTGTTCCTTTAAGACCCTCATCAGCTTACCAGCTTCTGCCTTGCTAAGGAAATACAAGTTGTCGTATGTATCTCGGTACAAATCAGAAAATTGAACCCTTCAGATCTCGAAATAGAGCCTAAACCATGGGGGTGAATCTGGAGCCAAGCATCTGAAATCAAAAGTTAGCATTCTCCTCCAAATTCACCTGGGGTTGAAGGTCAAATTTTCTATTTGTAACAAGCCAAATCAGCTTTTTGAAGAAGATTTTTTTGTAATCTCCTTTTCTGTTCCCTGCAGGAAAAAAAACATTTTTTGCTGTAGATGAGAATTCCCAACAAATTATTTTTTCACGTTTCATGTACAGGGAGGACGTTCCAAAAGATCATTCCCCATGATTTAGGTAACTTGTCTTGCAGATAACGTGTCCCTTCTTCAACAGTAGTTGACAGGCTAAACTTAAATAGCTTCGTCTGAACCTGTTCAGTGATAATGGAGAACAGCCCCACATCCTTTTCATTTAACATAATTTTCATACCTTTTTTTGCAAATAGCATTATGCTTTGGACTTGCTTTGGAGCTTTACGTCTCTCCAGTTTCGCACCTGTAGTGAGTCCTGGGGAATCACACCTCAGTGACAGGTTCTGGAGACGTGAATCTGCCTAGGTAGAGGTAAGCCCTGTGCATGGTAGTGTCTAGCTCCTCATGAGGGTACTTGCCTGAGCACGGCGTTCAGTCAATGACACACTTAGCCAGTTCTTCAAGATATTACACACCTAATTTACAACTAGTTAACTGAGGCAGGAGAGATCTCAGATAAAGTAATGAGCATGATTAATGTGTTTCCCAGTCCTCTCTTCCTTTTGCTAACATAAAAATTTTTAAACGCTCTGATTTTTGTTTGAAAGAGGTTCAAATGTACTAACTGAAGCTTAACATGTACCATTATAAAGAAGGAAATTTAAACCTTGCTGAAGAACTGCCAATCTTCTTCCCCGTGCTTATAGGGAGACGGTGAGCTGTAAGTAAAAGCCAGGGGAAGTTAGAAACTAGCTTTTGCAACAGATACTGTTCTTGCCTCCTGTGTATGTTTACCAGATACCAAGATAAATACTTCTATAACATATGTAATATTAATGGAAAAAGGGAATGTTAAAAGAATTTGGAGGGTATTGCTTTTCACATTAATGAAATCATGGGACTTTCCTTAAAAAAAAAAAAAAGGCAGGAGATGTAGGCAGCATGGCTTGAACAGAAAGTAGCAAATACTGCTGTAAGAATTCTCTACTTGCTACCAACACAAAAAGTTTCTACAGGCTTCAGTAGAGGCCCTGGTCTGCAGTAGCAACTATCAACTCAAGACCTTTCAAAACATTGGTATGCAACTCTTGTTGCCTGGTTAGAAGTATTTGTCCTCTGTAGATTTTATACTTGTATTGAAGCAAAACCCCAAAAATATAAAAAGAATTATCAGAATTTGTTACCCTAGTGCAATGGTTTGATACATAGGGAAGAGTTCAGTGTAGAGCTGAGCTTGAGACCTTGAAAACATTTCCGTTGTTTCAGACAGACACTTTGTCAAGGTCCTACTGGGAAAAGCCTGGCAGGAATCAAACTCATTACGTGCTTCTCTAGATAAATATTGATAAATGACAAAAAGGAACTCAACTATACCAGTTTTCAAAATAAGTAATGACACTTAAATAACGGCCTGTATGTCGACAATTTACAGCAGGCATGGATCTGTAAATTTGTCTCTTCCTTGCGTGTCTAAGCTTCTGAGATACTGCTTTTTCTATCAAACACTATTCCTTCTTATCTCAGAATCTGGAGTATTGGTATTACTTTCAAAAATGGAAACTAGTGAGTTTCCAACAGGTAAAAATGGTAAGCATCAACAAAACACAGATGTTTTCCTTGTAGGTTGCTGTTTCAAACAAGATGATCTTGTATTATCTTTTAAAATGGACTTGCATCAGTGTATCCCCTGGTGTTTGGTTTCTTTGTTGTGGGTTTTTGTTTTCCTTTGGAAGGTGAGGAGGGAAAAAAGAGGAGCAGCAAAACTCACTCTCAACTTACAGTCTAGCAAGAGGAACAGCTTTACACAAAAGGATCAGTTATTTTAAGATCTTTAAACAGCCTTTGGCAATTGAAGTTCCTTTTTGGCAGGTTACAGAACGGAAGAAACTCACTGTCAAGATCAGCTTTTCCAATTCCTTTAAAGCTTCATTGGTATGTTGTGCTTATGTTGTGCTTCTTGCTTACAATAGGCTTTTGCGTGGTAAGCCTGCTTATGAAGGTCTGGGTATACAGCTGTAAGTACAGTGTTGTGGTTAGGGTGTAGAGGGGGAAAAAAAATGGACTGATAAGCATATAATGGACATGGACGGAAAGACTTCTACCCTTGTCCAAGATGAATGTACTTAATGTTTCAGCACTGCCAAGTCAATGTAATGACTACCTTATGGTTGAAGGGAACTGAATGCTGTCATATTACACTTTATTTTCCAGCTCCTTGGGGAAGTGGGGGGTAAAATGTATAAAATGTGCAGTATTTGGGGCCTACTTCACTGGAAATCTTTAGTTCTAGACAAGGACATGAAACTAATACCAACATGATTGTTGTGATCCGAGACTGTCAAGGAGAAGAATGCTGTGAACATCCTAGTCTGCAAAAGGGCCTACCTTTCCACTGCTGAAACACTACTTAAAGCACAATTATTCCATACTTGTGACCTTTCAGCTAAGAAAATCTAAAAAGAGAATACAGACAGCTGCAGGAAAAAAAGTCCAAGAGCCTCACAGACTTTTCTAATTCTTTTCTGTAAAGTGGCAAAATCCTTAAGATTCCTTCCTTTTTGTCTCTTCTCTTCTGTGTTCTTTCACCTGAAAGCTGTTGAGTCATTTAAGAGATCCTCATGCTTAAAAGAAACAATCAGGTTTGAGTTATAACTCTTTTGGAATATATGTTAACTGGTCAAAATTGAACTGCAAAAAAACAGTTTGTGCACTGCTTCAGTCATTCAGAATCTTTCTTCCATACAGTAACTTATTAATGAATTTGTCAACAAATATTTCAAGAGCATACTTCAAAGCATTTCTTTACTATATAGATGCTATTTCCAGATGAGTTGTGTTATTTAGCTCACTGTACTGCTTGCTCTTTATTAATAGAGGGCTGAAAAATTGGCTGCTGGAGGATCAGCTAAGGATCAAAGACAGAACTTCAGCTTTCAACAGAAACACAAGTATTTTGACAGGTTGTAGAAGATGCAATATTAAATATCTTTGCCTTATTCTGATGTAGAGGTCAGAGTGGGAAGTCATACCGACTCCTGTTATCACTGATTTGGTGTGAAGCAGGCTCTCAGCATGAAAGACTGAGCTACATGGAAGATAGTTTTCAGAAGGTTAACACAAACTGACAGGGAAACAGTCAGCCATTTTAGTTTAGGTGAGTAAAATAAAATCAAATCATTAAGTTATTTTTTAATTTATTAGAGTATAATCAGCACATAAACAATGAGTTATTACTGCGGACTGAACATCTAAATAGAAAAACTGATCCATCAACTAATCAATGAAGTCAGTCATGCACGTTTCTCCATAATGCAGATGAATTCAATGCCTGTAAAAACAGACAGGAAGACAGATACAAAGCAGTCTGAATAAACCCTGAAATTTTTTATGTGCTCCAAAATCCCACTTTACAATTCAAATGACAATTTAGAAACATGTTTAACAAAAAAAAAAAAAATAGAAAGCATTCAAATAATTTTCAGTTCTTTCCAGTAGAACCAAAGCCACCTTCGCCACGTTCTGTATCATCTAGAGCCTGAAAGACAACAATTATGGTAAGTTGGTTTAGTGTCTTAACTTGCCTTTGTTTTGATACAACAGATATTGCCTATCACAGAGGAAGGTACATTTACTCGTAACAATAGCTATAATTGAGAAACTAAACAAAAAAGTTTTTAAGAGACATTTTAGAACACCTTTTGTAAAAGTTTAAATAAATCCCACATCGTGAGACAACTGTTTCTAGTATATGAAGTGTTTCTCAAGTACTTGTTAACTCTGAAAACTACAAAAAAAAAAAACAAACCCACAAAAATCCAGGTAAATGTATGCAAAGATCAAGGTTTTTATTCAGGTAGCAATGCCACTGCACAGTTTTAATACTGAAAGTAGTTTTAAAGCAAAGTATTTATCTATACCATAAATTTCAGCTTATATACAACTACCTTGAACTACTAATTATTGGAAATAGCAGAAATATTTTCTTTTGGCAACTTACTTGAACTTCTTCCAGTTCAGGATAGCAAATGCGTTCACAGATGAGCTGGGCAATCCTATCCCCTTTTTTAACTGCAATGAAGTTAAAATATTACTAGTTTCTTAAAAAAAAAAGTGAACAATGAATACAAAGTTTAGACAATCACCTTTCAAGAGTATCAAAATGTACTAAGCTGTAAAAACTTGTTTGAAACTTAGTTAAGCAGATGTTAATAGTCCTAGAAAAATACAGGCCAAGATAAACCTGTGCAGTGAAGTTTCAGCAGCAGTACCAGCTCAAGGCATCTCCCCTCGTTCCTGCTGCCATAGTGTGGCACCTTAAGTGTCGTTATGCATAGATACCGCAGAGGTGGAGAGACAGCTGTATGTATAATGCGGGTCCTTTTGTGAACTAGATCCAGCAACTGATTTCTCTAGGGGGGAAAAACCCAAACTGACAAAAGGCAAACAAAACTCCTGATTAGTACCCAGTCTGGTTCACAGAACTTCCCTAAGAAGCTTGTGCTGTGAAGTTGCAGAAAAGGCCACAAAACCACTGGCAGTATTGTAACTGGGCCCTGAGGCTTAAAACTGACTGTTAGCAGAGAGACAGCATGATTAAGGGAAAATTGTATCTTTATTACTTGTGCTTCCCAGGATCCTGGAGAAGTTTTTATCTCAAATACTGCTCAGCTAAATCTTTTGGTTTTTTTGCAGAGCAAGAAAGAAACTTAATACAAAGTTGTGCTTCATTGCAGCTCATGAATCAAAAGCTTAGCTAAGTAGGATGGTTTGTTTTGGTTTTGCAGTGCTGGTATGGTTTTGAGTTGGTTGGGTTTTTTTTTCATGCTGCCTGATTTGCTAGGAGTGGAATCTTTTCATGATTCCTTGACAGGACATTGTTAAGTTTCCATGTTTTTATTAATTTGAAGAAGAAAATGTTCTCAGCTAATTCTAACTCTTCATAGACATTTAAAGAAAAACTAGTTTCTCATTTCCAGTCAGATGGCTGAAAGCAGGCTCTGCCAAGCTTAACACTTACCTTGAAAACTCTCCTTGCCAAAGTTGAAGAGTACCACACCAACATTTCCCCTGTAATCCTCATCAATAACACCAGCTGTCATGAAAAAGAATTAAGAGGGAATCCAGCTAATAAATGTTGTCAGGTAAGTATATTAGATAAGGTTTAGATGAGTAGATGATTGCAGTATCTCATATTTACATTCTTTATACTACTCACACACAATTAAACAATATGTATGAAAATACTACAATATCTAAAAATTATCATCAATTTTGCAAAAAGAACTGAAAAACACCATCATGTATCAAGAAGTGTTTTATCACTGTACTACTAATTTATTTGTAACACCCTATCTGAAATCAAGAAAGCTGCACCAAATTTATTTTTACAAATCTTTGTTGAAAAGGCTGTCATCTAGACAGGTACTTCTATTAACAGGTATCAAATTCTTTTGACCCCACCTATTTGACCACTGCTAGAAACTGGCTCGCTAGGATTTGAAAACTGTCTGATAACTAAAGATGGAAAAGACAGATGAATGTGGCTGAACTGAAGTCAGCAACATTGAAAATTTAAGTCACTCCTATGATTCACTAGAAGGAGAAAAAAAAACTTCTCGCTGAAACACTCAGATTTTAACTTAGAATTGTATTTTGTACAATTAGAACAATGTAATACACATTTAGTGCTAGTTAAATTGCTGTGGTTACAGCTGTGCTCAGAATAACTCCACAATAATCTCAGCTGTGAGAACTTCTGCGCAATGTAGATGCTGTTTTGTAATACAATACTGCGAAAATCTGCCTGTGCTCTGAGCAGCCCTACTGCAACACTGGAATGGAACTTTCAACATCGTTTACTTCATGTTGCAGATACAGGGATATGGCAAAAGGACAGTGAGGCTTTCATGAAGGCTTCTGATTACAGATATGCCTATAATAATTGTTTTTGAAGAAATGTGTGAATTTATAATCCAGATTACAGAAAAGCTCAAAATATTTTTTTAAAACAACTGTTGTTAAAAACAAATCTGCTGCTACTACTGAACAAAAAACCTAAACAGTAAAGACTTGTAGAAAGTGGGATTTTAATTTTATTTGTTTCAAAAGACTTTCAATTTTTAAGTCAATTAATGTACCAAGTCATGAGTTTAAATTTCATTTACTTCACATGATTTGTTACATTTTCATCAGTAAACTAAAGCTCTTTTCATCCTAATAATTCTACCCACAGTAGTGGTGTATTCCAGTGCTTTCTATCCTTCCTTTTGAATATCGTTACTATATATTCTCTGCGTAAAAGAGTATCTGTATATTATTGATTTAATTAATTCAGATCTTACACCAGACTGAAAAGAATCACACATAGATGCTTAGTCAAAATGGAGAAAGGAGAATGTAAAAAGTCATCTTTAAAGCCTAAACCAAAATATAACTTCTATGCCAGGCATTGCCTGCAAAAGTACGATACAGTTGTTATTTTTATAAATTCAGTAATATTTTTATGATTCAGCAAGTTTTAAAATAATTGACATATGGGCTCTCTGAGGTATTACCCAGTTATCTCCTTTTGCCAGACTACCAATGAAGCCAGTATTATTTATTTACATATAGTACAATGTGAAATTAAGGCACTTCTGCAATCAAGATTTACAAAGTCTTAGTGAAAAGAACGGAAATCTTACCACCAACATCTATGAAGTGCTTTGCAGCTAAACCAGAACGTGGTGCTAGAAAAGAAGAATTTTTTTGTAAGTATAATAATTTTTCTTTTAAAATTCTTGCACAATATTTATAGGTTAGTATGTTTGCACAGAGTCGTGGGAGCAAGAACTGTTTCCGCAGCCTTTCTAAAATAAACATGATTTTACAGGAACTACTGTAAGTGTTAGTGTATATATTAAACAAAACAACAGCTGCTACAGGCTACAATAAAATTGTAGTTTTTAAGTGATATAAGCATATCCTTGTTTAGACCACCAATCGCAGAGTAGGTTTCTCCTAGGACAGCAGCTGGAGCAGACAACGACTATCTAATCTTGGATTATTTTTGGTGGCTACCACTGGTTTGGAATAACCTCAAAAGACTATTAGGTCAATCCACTCAAGTTACGATGGAAAACAATACTTGGCAAGTATTGCAAGCAATTTACTAAGAAACATTATACACAGATAAACTAGATGATGTGCAGAGTGGTTTCTTTACTTACCTTAGCCTACCTTGAGGTGCTAAAATGTTACACTCTGCAAAATTTCCTTTGTCTGGGATAAGAGAAATGCACACGCATTCTCTTTTTAGATGAAAGGACATGGCAAACTCCGATCACGCCTTTCCACTGGAGTGGCTATTGCTTTTTTTACTTTAAGAATTTATACATAATTTAGGAAAAGAATGCACAAAACATAACAGAATATCTTGTACAGGTTCTCTCCAGTATTCGGTCACAAAAAGTAGTCAAATTCTACTACACTAGTAAACTTACTTCAGGGTTAATTTTTAAACATCCAGGAGTGTATTTGCTGTATGTCTATTACCTATTGGTCTTTGTGATTCAAATTCTGAAATTGCAGAGAAATAATAAACTATTGCATAGTCTATAAACTTGTATGTAGATCATGAAAATTTTTGCTAATCATCTGTTTGTAATTTGACATACACCAAACCACAAATGTATTTGACAAGAAATGCCCATTACAAGACTTAATAAATCACACAGCCACGTGACACCTCTTTTTTTTTTTTTTTTTTACAGACTAATTTTGAAAGCTCTGTGCAGACTCCGGATGTGAAGATGGGGCCAAACCTGCCATACAATGACTCTGCAGCCTTTTTATAGCCTGTTCACTTACCTACTCGGCCATAGCATCCGGAAGGAAGGGCAATCTGAATGTCTGTTTTCACTACAGCCTTTTCCATGGGTGGTATCACGCAGTCATAGGCACTACATTAAAGAAAGAAACATTAGTTTCTATAGAATATATTGAAAATTTTCTTCTCTGTAACTTAAGGTACAAATTACCCAGAATTACTCCTGCTGGGAATTTATACCATAGAATTTATATAAGAAATATTTACAGATTTGCAAAACCTAACGCAAATCCTAAACCACAAGATATTCCCACTTTGATGGTGGTATTTTAAGATTTCAGTAGCATCATTTGAACAGCATAGTCTTAAGATTGCTAGTTTTAAATGGTTTTTTTTAACTAGTAAGATAAAAAATACAAGTTTAACTTTAAATTAACCATTAGGTGAATGGGTTGTGCAATTTTTGTGTAAAAGCAGAAACTTTAAAGATAATACACTCTTCTGTTTAAGCTTTCTACAGCAGATGAACTAGGTGTAACAAAAAATAATCTGTTAAGTTAAATTTTAGGCAACAATGTTTTTTCTGAGTGGGTCAGAAGTTCACTATTCATGTGATTCTGTTGGGAGCTGCAAAATAGGGAAATTTTAAGAACTCTCTGAAGCTACCCAACTGGAGGCTTAATGAAAGGCAGTGGTGACAATACCACAGTGAGACTATTCTAGTTGTTCAATGCAAACATATCTTGGCCTTGACAAAGAACGAATTTTTAAATGCTGGGAAGAACTGAAAGGTTTTTTATGAAACAGACTTTTTCTAGGTGTAAGGTACACCACTGGAACAAGAACACAAACAAAACTGTTAAGACAAAAGGAATACAAAGGAAAAGTGTTAAGTGTGGTGAAGCAAAGCTTGATAAGTGAAGAAAAAGACAGGCTGATTATTCTAAGCAATACTAAAAAAGGGAAGGTAGAGGAGGTCACAGTGGAGTTCAGATATAACAAGCACCATGCAAAGAACCACGAGCAGATAGATAGATATTTCTGAACATAGTGAAAGCCTTTGAACAATGGTTATTATCAGTTCGAGCAACCCAAACCTAAGTCTGTACAGCCACCCACATGGTTTCCAGCTAGGAGCATTAACAAACTTCCTAGCACGACCGTTCTGAAGGCACCTAGTCAGTGCTGGTGCCAGCAGCAACTCGGGCTGATGTGCCAAGCCTGACTTCTGGCTAACGGCTGCGTCGCTACCTGATGGAGTTGGTGCTGCAGCATGGCTAGAGCACACATCTCTGACAATGAAGGGAGAGGGATGGAGGAGCACGGGAGCTCTGTCCTGTTCCGCAGGGCCGGGGAGCCTTTCCGGAGGGCTCTCCAGCCACAGGACCTGCCTCACGCCGCCGAAGTTCCGAGCCGCGGGGCCGCCGGGCGGGGCGGCAGCGCCGCACCCTCACCTGTACAGGTCGTAGCCCGCAGCCCGAGCAGAGCCCTTGGAGGGGGCGGACGCGTTCTCCGATAGCTTAGTGAAGCGGAGCCGTGCGGCGGGCTCCCCCGGCACCGAGCCCTTCTGCCTCTTGCTGGGGGACGGCTGCAGGACGGCCTCGGAGGGCATCGCTGAGCACGGGCAGGAAGGCGAGAGAGACACACCGTGAGGGGAGAGGGAAAAGCCCGCGAAAACCGGCACGGCCCACTGAAGGCCGAAACAGA